CTATCTTCAGCTCGTATTCAACTCCTCGTATATCGTCTCTCCAGCCCGTATCTCTCTCATCCCGAGTCGCAGCGCCGCTTCAGCAGCGGTCCGAGCAAGAGTCGCAGCGGATGGACCGCGCGAAAAGTTGCAGCGGATGGACCGCGCAATTCGCAGGATGCAGCGGGACACAAGGTCGCGCAACCTGGACACTAGGCCAAACGAGAGGCCAGGCGATTTGGGCGTGCAGCCACGCCCGCAAGCCACACCCGCCTGGGAATGTGAGCAAGGGGGGCCACTTACCTGCAGAGCACCCCAAGTCAAAGGCTCTGCAGACACATGCCTACTGAACACACGTCAGCCGAACAAAGAAAAGCGACAAGCCTGAAACAAAGAGCAGGTTGTCCACAACTGGAGGCGAGCACGGTGGGCAGCCTGGCGATGTTGCTACAGGCGCTGGACAGTGGCTGATGTGACCGTCGCTGAAGCTGGCGCTGGTGACCTGGCGCCGGCGCAGTTGGCGCTGGCGCTGGCGCAGACGCGTTGGCGTTGGTGCAGGCGCTGATGTGAGTGGCGCAGGGGCGCAGGCTGGCGCTGGCGCAGACGGTGTAAGCGACGGCAGGGCTGGCTTGCAGGACTTGCGCGGCTCTGCACTCTCATATAATGGCAAATGTCAGCGAAGCCCTCAAGAAAAGGGACAAATCCCAGCAAACGTTGCGCTCTTAGCAGAACTTTCACCCAATGCAACAACATGGGCGCGATTCTGGACCACAAGTGGCCGCAGTCAGTCTCTGGCAGGGGTGTGTCTGAACGTTGGCATGGATCGCAGCGGTCTGCCAAGCAAGAAGCGCTCAGTCCCTACCCCTGTAAGCAACCTGGACTCACTCAACCAGAAATGGTGCCCCAACTGGAAGAGGCACAAGCTGCAGTAAACGCATATGGAGCGCATACGCAGCATATTGGCAGCCAAATAATATCAGGAAAGAGAGACACTCCCTGCTGGCCATGAAGGCCAGAAGCATGTGGGATTCCACGCCTTCATGTGTGCGTCCACTCTCCACCTCGCACCCGATTCTTTGTGCGAGTCATTGCGAGCTTGCGGCGTCGGCACATGTGCAAGCTCTCGGGCTGGGCACGGGATGTGGAGGCAATGGACGTTGAGGTTCTGATGTGCTAAGTGGTCACAGGACCGGTCACATGGGAGGCAGCCATGACAACGGCTGGCTGTGCTACGCAAAAGAGAAGCGCCTCGCGAAGTGGTCCATGGTGCGACCACTCGCACAAAGAATGGCGAGAGGTCTCTGAAAGTCCTGAATGTCTACGAGCTATACGAAAAGTCACTGGTGAAATGTAACGCTATATACGAACTGAGTCTAAAAGCTATACTGAATGGAAAGTGTCGTAACATCGCTGAGGTCCCGGGGGACCGAATCCCAATCCTATCGAACTAGAATTGTCGTCGAATGTCATGGAAAAGGAGGAAACGTAATGCTAAGACTGGATGATACTAACGGAGCTACACAACGAAAGACCTGCAAGGAACGCCGAGTGGCCACAAGGGCCGTGGCGACATGCTGGCGCGCATATATCTAGGCGCTGCCAGTCGTGAGCCGTCAGATGTGGCATCGACGGTTATTATGCATAGATATCGTATCTAGATATTAGCGAGATTCGCCGCAACCCGGCAGGGATCGGTGCGTACCATATGCTTGGACTCGTAGTCTGGGCCGTCGATTGGCCGATATCAGCGGCGCTAGGAGCCGCGACGTTGTTAGAGGTGCGCGGTACATGCTCAGAGCGCTTGAACGCGCTCAGAATGGACAAGGCCGCGGCGGTTTGACCGCGTCGTGGTCAAATGGCGCATGGCGCGTGCGCAGTCGCACGGCGCGCTCGATACAAAACGAACTCGATGTAATCGGGCATGACAGATATGCTGGTAGAGCAAAGCACCCGCTTCAGGAGTGATGCGGCCGCGGAAGCAAAGAAGCAGCTAGCTGAGTCGCTGATGGCGTTATTCCAGAATCCCGCAGCTGCATCAGCTATCCAAGGCCTCCAGGCAACTAGCAAGGCGCTTGAGGGCAACTCTTAGATTAGACTCGGCCTCTTTTAACAGCCACTCAATTCATCTTGAAAACGTTCGCTTTATTACGGACCGTGCCCGATTAATGCATATCAACCAATAATGCGTGCAGGATGCATGCAACGCCGCCTCGATATCAATATGTGCCAAGACTATCGGCGACATGATTGTTTCTCATCTTGGGACAGTTTGCTCGGCCTTCCACATCCATTATCATTCTGGCATGATTGGCAGAATTAGAGAGCGGTCACACGGGCCCGGTTGGACAACACATGGCCAACGCCGTAATACTTGGAATGCCTTATAAAACTTTCAATACACCATCGTCCGGTTGCATTTGGCAGGTTGTGATATCGTAATCCGCTGATGGTTACGTTAAATGCACTAAGCATCAGCCCTAGTACTCATTTGGACTGTCCGGGCTGCAGGCAATGCACCCGCAATGCACAGAGGCGGCGCCATGCGCCGCTTAGTATAGTGCAGCGCCCGTGGTTGGCGCTGTTTGACTACTGTGAGCGGCATCCCGCCGGCCTTCGCCCACCATACTAGTTTCGATGATCGACGGTGCTGAACTCGCTCTTCGGACCGATTCGCTCGACTCAAACCGGTCGATACGTTTTTCCTCCCCCTCAGTCTGTTATGACCTTCGATTCATAATGCTAAATTGGACGGTGGCGCGGGCCCGCTTTTTCAGTTTCACCCGAGCACCCTCACCCGACCACTTCAAGGGTCTTTAATGTAGAAAAGTTTCCGCGATTCTAGTGTAAAATTTCGCTGCTCTCTGTCCATGCGATTGGCGGACAATTCTAAACAGAATCGGTCCTTTCGTATGAGAATCCAGTCCCTGGTTAGTGATTCTCTACACCTTACCTGCGACTCCGGTTAAAAGTTTGAGGTTAAGCTCGACCGGCTCCGCAATTTCGATGGTCGCCTACACCGCGAGACTGTAGTACTGTACGAGCTATTACCTCAGGTATGCATCATCAGGGGCTGTTCTCTTAGGACCTTTCGCATGCTTAGTGATCGGGTGTCTTGGAGCGAGAGGCTAGCGTCTCTGCCACCAAGGTTGCGCTGCGGACCATTAACACTGGTACATGTGCGGGCCCTACGAGGATGTAATGCTCCTGGATGCATGTAAAACGGCCCCACCGTAGCCCCATGCCTTTGATAGTGCACGGGCTGTTAGAGAAGTCAACATCCCGTACCGTTTCGATCGGTCGCAAATTTGTTTCACCGGTGTCGCGACTCGCGACAATTTTTGTACGCAATACTCACGACCGTACTCGACGGTAATCGAGAATCGGGTCCGGGTTCATGAATTTGGACTTTTCTGACAGCTCGATCAACGGGAAGTTCCGTATTTCTCGGCGGTACGGTACCCACGGTCGATACTTCAGTCTGAAATTTGAATTTCATGGTCTCGATCGGAACTTCCGACATGAACCACTTAAGGGTACCGCGGTACCCAGGCTGAAATTCAAGAGTGCAGGAAATGGAAACACTAGTGTTAGACAATGCGCATTTCAAGAAGCAACAATGGCGGTCAACTTTGCGCCGTATATGTTGCTTCTTGGGATTTGACCGCAATAAAGCGCTCAGCTGGAGCTTTCAAGGACCCACAATGACGCCCTCCTGAAGTGTCGCTATGCTTGTCAGCGCTTTTTACATGCTGCATAAGCCTCTCCTTTGAGCACCAATTTGATGCTTCTTTCAAAGTGTAAAGCATTACACTGTCTTACATTTTCATCACACTGAGCCACGACCGAGCATAAAATTCTCAGTACTTGTACCGTATGTGTAACATAAACCTGAGTCGGCGTTACGCAAACCGCCGGTAATACTGACGGTATTTGATACCGTCACTGACAAATTTGCGACGGTCCGAGTCAAAATTGACTCGGCCGTAACCCACCGTAGGTAGCTTGTGTTAATGGTAGCTTGTGTTAACGTTCTATCTGGCTATCTTGAATGGATACTCAAAGACCATCAAGTTAAGACTTTGCCTAGAGGGCAACCTACCCACATGCCTGGACGCAAGGGCCATACACGCGTCGACATAAGCATGTGATGGACCCCGCTCGATGCTCATTCTGTTGCATTCCTCGAAAGGTGCCGCATAGATTCTTCTAACTTTCTTGACAGCCGCTTGACTTTGCAGACCTATCAGAATCTGCGAGCCTAAAGACTTGGCGTGGAGAACAAATTCTGGAAACGTTAACAAAGAGGGTTAGCAAATGCGCGTCTTCAACAAGCATATTAAGATCTGCTTGCTCGAGCCTACACTATCCTCTCCAATTCCCTTGCATAACCTAGGGTCTGTGTTATGAGTTGATGTGAGGGAATGTCCTTCGAAATGGCTTCTTCATTTATCTTCCGGAAGTAGATGGAGCCGTTCTTGATGTCCCAGTCACGCTGCAAGTGAAGAAAATCTTGTCAACACAAACAATCATTGCGTCCATGCATCACAACATCATATCGACATGCTCGTAGAGGAGATACGATTTTGGGATGATGTACTTTCAACAAACATAACACATTCACCATTGAGACGAGAGGCCTGCAAACCCTTACCATCCCGGCAAAATCTGCGACTTCTTGATCCGTTTTCAGAAGCATCATCTTCTTGGCTTCGGCTAATGACAGGAAGTCGTATGCTTTTTCACTGCAGCCCGCAATCTCGTCCCTGCAGGAAAGCGACCAAATATCGTCAGGATGCAGAGAAAACAGAAGCTTCAAGCAAAGTGAACAAGCTTTTGTGTTAGAAGCAGCCCTCCCAACAAAGGTAAAGACAATCGAGTCAGAACTCCGTTCAAAAGGGTCGCTAAGTTGTGAAACGCAGAGATTGTGCTCACAGCTTGGCACACAGAAGGTGTTGCTCGAATACGGCGCTCGCAAAGACCAGAGGAACTTTGAAGAGGCGGCTGACATCCATCACGGTCGGCCACTTGCTTCACGATCTTTGTCACAGCTCACATCGGAGACCCGTGGCATTTATCCAAAGCCTAGACGGAATGTTGTCCAAAGCCAATACAACTTCATATCAAGCTCAATAGAAGTGCGACTCGACTGCCTACAAAATCAACACATGAAGCGTTGTAAGATGTGAAGAAGGCTTATTCATTCTGACAGATTCGATGCAGATCTGAACAGGTAGCTAAGGTGGTTTCAAAACGCATGATCCACGAGAGACCTGTTCTATGTAATTGACTGGCCCTGATTCCGACAACCGGTCTGCAAGCTCCCTTACCTAACGGTATCAAGGAGCAGGTTTACAAAGAACGCGTAGCTCTGGTCGGGGAGGTTCGTCCGCGAGTTGAGGACCTTTTGGTATGCGCCCTCCATCAGGGACTGCTCCAGCTCGATGGCATAACGAATGAAAGGACTGCTGTGCTGTGCGGAGGGAATCAGCTCCAGCTCGGTGTGGAACTCGGAGATACGGTTTTGGACTAGCAGGCGCAGCAAGTTTAGGCCCGTGATCAGCTGCTCCCGGGAGGAGGGGGGTATGGAGTTCCTGCACACAAAACGGGGCTATGTCGGTTGAGGAGAAGCGCCGCTACTGGTTGGCTGATGCAAAATCAAAGGAACGAAAAAAACCTGAGTGGCCATATATCTCAAAGTGCTGAAACCTGAGAGCACACTGAGGAGGCAGTCGTAAAGGCAGATGAGCGAAGTTTCAATGCTATGACAATAATCTCCACTCATTAATGAGTCTTCAATGGTGCTATCATTCGCCGTGGAATTTCAAAGCTTACGGTCAGAGCTAAAAACGTTTTTGGGTTCAGAGAGAGAAACAATGCAAACAAGGACCAATTCATCAAACTCACCATAATAAGCATCAAAAGCTTTCGAAGGGGGCATACACTTGAGCAGAATGATTTGCAACCACTTTGCAAAGCCAACAACGAGCTCTGACCTTCACAAAGACCTCTTCAACAAGAAGAAGAGGATGCAATCATGAAGCCTGTAGGAAAACAAAGTTATTGGATTCTGCTACCCCGGAAGTTGCGTGGTAGAAGCAGCTGAACACCCACAACCAAATATAATCTCACCGTGTATCCACATAGTACGGTTTCAACTGCAGAAACTGCCTCTCAAACCCAGCCTCGTCCTCTTTCTTGACTGTGAGAAGAACAGCGTACTCTAACACTTCTCCTGCAAAGTGGGAAAAGGGGCTAAGCGATCATAGTAGCTATCAGACGTGCCCTATCATGTACTCAAGCGGGGGATGTATTCTTAAGTATGTCGGGATCATGTCCTCTATCTTCACCAATGACATGCGGTTGTCTGCAACATTTAACAGTATTTGATGTATCATTGACAGCCTCACAATTCCTTGCACGATAGCATCTGACAGCTGTTCACAAGCAGAATACTGGTACTTTAAGTTCATTGGCCGAACTGCTAAGAACATGGCCGAACTGCTAAGAACAGTGTCATATGAACTAGGTTGAAATCACTAATGTATGCTACAAGCAAGTTGCTCAAGAGGAATCGCGTGGACTTAGTGCACCGAGAACAGCTGCCTGAAGGCTTTCCAGGAGCGATTTAAGCTGTTGCTGGCTTCTGTACTTACTTCCAAGCGACAACTCCTCCTTCTGAGTTGGCGTCTTCTGAAACAGGGGTGGCAGGGCAGGGAACTGTGTCATACGAATCTGCAGAGAGACCAGCAAGGTTATAAGATTCCCAGAAACGACTCAATGTGCAATCAAGTCCGGAACCAACAGAAAGCAGTTGAGAGGTTTTGAAAACCCTAGATACTGGAATTAGATGCAAGCAGATTGATAAACTTCTCGCAAAACACCAACCGAAGCAGCTGAGCTGCTTGAGAGGATGAAACACTGCTTATCCGACCACTCTGCAGAGAGATGGCTCATTCGAAGCACAATTGCCCTGACTTCTGAGAAATACAATCTGCAGCCGCTACTTTTGTATCATCGGTGATCAGATTCTCGAGGTATATTCCATCGCCTGCTTTCCTTGGCAGCCCGGAAATAAGCAAGCTTCGATTCATGTTGTCCTCAATTGCCAAAAATGAAGGACTTGCCACCTCAAAACAATGGCCCAACCGCTAGATGCATGCCACAGAGATGATTAGCCCTTGTTTGAACTCTCGACGACCATGAAAGTGCCAAGCCACCATCAGGACTAGCAAAATAAAAGCTCAATAGAGTCTGAAATGGGTACACCAAGCAGATGTTGAGAAGTTGTATACCTTCAATTGCCCCAGGTGCTGCTGACATGATGCGACATCCCCCGATTGAAAAGAAGATCTCAAGCCCTGCAGCAACTTGCCAGCTTCTGCCAGACCCCTCTCCATGCTTGTAAGCAACGATCTGCTCAGCAACAATCTGCTCGACAGACACAACCTGGATGCGCCACCGTGCAGCTCTGGTATATCGATTCTGAAGGCTGAAGCTTTGAACAGCCTTCAGCAGCTCGAGCTCAGCATGTCAATTATTTTCAACTTGTGTCCTCTACCTAAAATCCAGAGCGCTGCCTGAATGTAAATGACACGATTAATACTTTATAGGCATAGAGCGTACCGAAGGCATATCGAAGGCATACAAGGCTACAATTTGCATTTGGTATTGTATGTACCTACTAAACTTGAAAGTTGAAACGCATGAGTCATGAGTCAAATGAGTCGTGACAAACTTTCTGCTACTTCACGTGCAGTGTATATGCCAGAGACGATTTACGAATTGAGGAGCAGCTTTCATCCATACGCGGATAACAAAAGCTACGTCCTTGCACGAAAACCTGGTCGGCCCAGATGGCAGCTGGAATTTTACATGCAGGACTGTGGATGCCCTCTTGCCTGCTGATCTCGCCTGTGTGTAGGATCACTTTTTGAGAGGAGGACGCTGTGAGTCTTGGTCTCCTCCTTCACCATGAGCTGATCCTGGTAGGATGGACGCCATTCTCTCACACCACCTCTCTTGCCGCGGTGTGCGCCCTTCTCGTCCGCAACGCTTGTGTCTGATCAGAGCCACCACCCACCACGATTTCGATGGATAAGTTCCATCATTGGGAAGAGGGCCAAAGTCACCAAGGCCCTGCCCTACACTGGGATTTGTTGGAAGTGCAGTCACTTGAGACAAACCTCTGAGGGCGTCTATGCTGGTCTCATCAATGCTGGTTTTGGTCATTCCGCGGCAGGCAACAAGAATGAAAGCCTGCGCATCAATCATTCTTGGATCAAGGGCGTACCCAGGCAACAAGAAAGTGCAATTTTCAGCTCTCGGTCTGCTTTGTCTGGGAGCGCAGAGCCCCGTTCGCCAGGGCGAAAATGTTTTAAAGGAGAGAACCAAATTCTAAAATCTGTGGGATCAGGGTGCGGGGTAAGTACACACTTTGAAAGCCCTTCTTTGGCGCCCTTCCCATCTAGCAACAGGAACGGCCGTCAGGTTACCAATGCTGTTGCCGGCGGGGTGATCGTGGGGGATCGGTCAGCTACAAGTAGCAAAAAGGGCTACAGCTTTCTCTTGAGCTCAAGGAGGAAGAGTGCGGCAGATCTGATGCTGACAGAGGGGGCGGTAGCCAGTTGCAGTGAGGCACAGGTCGTCAGTCAAGTGCTTGAAAGGCAACTGAGTGAAAGGACAGCGTCAACTAGCAAAGCACCTTACAGCAGTGGCCCAACAAGGAGGGGCAGGCTAGAAGGAGCAGTGACGTTAGAGAAACCGGATGGGAGGAGGGGTGATGGAGAGGCAAAAGCTGTTTCGCGGTCAGCAGCGCTGAAGAAGCTAGCAGAGGTCCATGACACACTTCTCCAGTCAGGGAAAGCAGAGGACTGCGCCAGGCTGGTGCAGTCAATTGCTGAGGAGGGCCGCTGGAGTGCAAAGCAGATCGACAGAGCCCTCAAAGGAGGCCGCATTGTAAGCTCCAAACAGAGGGGTGCTTCTCGGTCGAGAGGCCGAAACCGACTTAAGGACTTGGGCCCTAAGTAGCCTGGCCCGAAAAAGCTGGAATCCTGCACATTTGTGGAGGTATGGTTGGGGTCTGCGAAGCTTAGGTACAAGATCGAAGCACCATACCGCCCAGTTTCGCTACTTAGGAACATGGCGCTATCAACCATGGCACCGACCAGGCTTAGGGACATGAAACCCTGCCACCATGGGCATGTTCGTCGTTTTCCAGGCCAGTGCCATTTGCTGGCAGGGGGGAGAAGAATGGATATTCCTTTCAAAGTTTCAGAAGCTTGAAACGGTTTCTTCCAGCTGTACACAAACAATGTCAAAATGTGTGGGGAGAGGGGATTCGAATTCATCTGTGTCGTGATGCTTTCTGGATATGGGTTGGTGGACGAGGTCCAAGGCTATTGGAATACGTGGAATAAGCTGCGTATGAAGCCTGAAGAGAATATTTCTGAATACAACGTGGCTTTTGAACAGGCACGTGCTGATGTGGCGACCGAGATTCAAAGTAAACAGGCGTTCATTGAGAGGTACAAGTTTGGCTTGCAGAAGGATCTGAGGGAGGCTGCTCGTGCAGCTCCATCTGGCAAGCGCTGGATTACTCTAAAAGATCTCATCGAATTCTGTACTCTGCGGTGGCTCTCGATTCAAGCTTGTCTTGGCATGTCGTTGAACAAATCTGGCAGCCAGAACAACGGGTCACCATCTGTTAGGGTCGGTGGCAAGCGCAAGGCATTGTCACCTAACCGTCCTAAGAGGTCTAACAAGGCTTCATCTGAGGCAGAAGATTCTGGCAGCTTCCCTTGCTTGACTGACGAGCAAAAGTCTAGGAACATTTGGGACAATCTGTGCCACATCTGTGGAAGCCCATATCACTATAGTAAGACGTGCCCAAAACGCCGGGTTCCGTGGAAGAGTAGTAAGGGCAAGGGTGGCAAGCAGCAGAAGGATTTCTCTTAGCTTCAGACACTAGTGAACCAGTGCTTGAAGCAGATTTGCATTTTGTAGATGGAATAGACATTATTTCTGAGGACTTCAAACATGTTATTGCCCTTGTTGGCAAAACATTTGATCTGGGAGTCCATAATACATCTGAGTCTATCTCCACAAAATGGTGTCCACAATCCAACTTCTTTGCAGAACGTCTCTCTGGCAAGCATGTCTGGTTGAATGCAAAGTCTCAATCTGAGTTACGAGACAAGCTTCTGTACTCCAAGGCACAGTATGCATCTGATCCGAGAAATACTTCTGGCTGCATTTTTCTTCTGTCTCGATGGTATTTCAAACCGCGATGCGCAGGGAATGGAGAGAAGTGATGTCTGTTCAAGCCTGGTCGGTGCCATGGTTGATAGCGCCATGTTCCTAAGTAGCGAAACTGGGCGGTATGGTGCTTCGATCTTGTCCCTAAGCTTCGCAGACCCCCACCATACCTCCACAAATGTGCAGGATTCCAGCTTTTTCGGGCCAGGCTACTTAGGGCCCAAGTCCTTAAGTCGGTTTCGGCCTCTCGACCGAGAAGCACCCCTCAGGTCGACACGAATAAGGGCGAGCACGTAAAAGGCCCAAATGTGGATAGAGCAGCGTACGAGTTGGCGCTCTCCAAAGACCCAAAGCGTGGTGAGTGTGTGACTGCAAAGCGCATTCTATACGACCGCCCTGCATCCCAAAGCCTGTGATCTTTCGGAGCCCAGGTCTTAAAATCATGAGAAACGTATGGTTGTTGAAGTACTCGTTTCGGCCTTCTAGTGACCATTTCTTATCGATAGGTGCTTTTGCGTTAGATGAGTCGATACAGATTGGCTTCAAAAGAAGAATCGCATGAGGCCCTTAAATGATTAGGACATGTCCGGTGGTTTCAAGATTATTGATATGTCCTTCTCAAGGATCTGGATAAGCAGGAGAGCAATCAAGGGACCCTCGCTTCCCAAAGAGGGTCCTAACTTTTGTGCGAGTCATGAGAAACATTGGATAGACTGTTGGTTGGATGATGTGCAACATCTTGACAATCAGGATAAGAACGGCCGGCCTTATTTGACCACCGAAGGGGGGGCAACCCATATGAGACGAGAGGTATGCGTCTCTTGATACCAAGTCGTGAGAAACTCGCCGTTGATCTGAAAGTGCGCAACTTCAGCTTGCTCAAGACTTTGCAGATTACGGACGCTTCAGCAGGCGAATTGTCCTAACCTCTATCTTCCCTCTCCCATGTCAGGAAGAAGCTGGAGACACTAGCGTTGGCGTTCTTCGAGGAGAAGCCGCACGGGTTCAAGCCGCTCTCAACGGAGCGGCTGAAATGGGGCTGCTATCTGGGCAGCATTCTTGAACTTATCATGTCCTCCAAAGGCAAACAAAAACTGAGCAGTGGCTGGAGGATACCTCAAACGCCCGGTACATACCGGGCTCTACCAGAGACGCGCTAGCGGAGTTGCAACCCGACTTGCACAGCAAAGACTCGCGCATACAAATTGACCATATTTGGAACAACTCCTCTGGTGGCCCCGATCATCGGTACAACTACTTCCTGTTGCCGGGGCCGGTCAACGCGGCTTTCAACAAGTTCATGACGCCGCAGAAGCTCGCGGGGATAGGCAGGAAAGCCGCAAAGGAAGCCATGAACTTTCTGCAGTATGTCAAGACGGAGATTGTTTGAAGCTTACATGACGCGCACTGGGAGCTTTCGCTTATGTGGCAACAAGCAAGAGGGCGGACACTTGGGAAGGATGGTCGTGCGTGGAGCTTCCTTGGAGGTAACAAGAAGGGAGAATTCTTGTTTCTTTAAGGGAACTCGATGATAACATGATTAAACGACTCTCGCCTTGTTCAATTGCGTCGGAGCTCGTTGCCTTCTTGGGGAGTTGCCTTAGTGTGTCGAAAGATTTTGGGAGGTGGGACGTCGTTTGAGATGAGCGCTTTTGAAAAAGGCAGTGTTATTTGTGATACTCTATCGTGGTCAGGACCTGGACATTCGCACAAACACAGGCCGCACTTTCTGTCCCCTTCCGTCCCAATTGTTAGCTGAATGTCGGCAGGAGACGAAAGAGACGCTTGTCTGCCTCTTGCAATCACCCGAGGTTTTTGAAAGCGGAGACTATTGACTTTTCGAATCAGGCTCTTTTCACCCAAGTGGAAAGCCAGCTTCTATCTCCTCGTTGCAGGCAACCCGTCCCATCAAGGAGAATGTTTGACAGTCAACGTCTAGCGTCTATCGAGACTATCTCTGCGTCTCCCCCGTCTGTGCCAGTCAAAGGCGCCCTCTCATACCCGCTTAGCAACCAGGAGGACGCCCTTTGAAATTCCAGCCCTTCAATTGCAACGAAGGTTCCCCGGGAGCGAGTGACGAAGTGATGAGCAGTACTCGCGCCCTGAGACACGTGTTCCTTTGCGGCCACCTCAGAAGCCAACAAAAGGAGAGCCGGGCTTTTGGCGCTTCTTTCGCATATGTCGTTATTCAGTCTCATATGATGCGCGGCATGCGGGGCGCTGCATCGCCGCATGTCCAATGAATGCAATTTATTTCTGGTGTTTACATTGAGGACTCATGGCTGGCAGGTTCTCAGTATTCACATGTAGTGACGTCATGCCACGCAATCATATTCTCCGACCATATATTGACCCGTCACGCAGAGGGGCATCTCATGAGGCGGCGTGACCTTGATCTGCTGCAGTTCTTGAAAGGTAACCAGATACCGGTTCGCATAAACGGCTCAGTGCAGTTCATTCATGTAATACAAGCGTGGTCAAGGATCAACCTGTGGAAAATACTATCAGCCTAGCATGTCCCAGGTTGTAACTTGCATGCTATATGCGAATTGTAGCACTTCATTATGTAAGCTGAACTGAGCACATGCAATGCACATGCTTTCCTGCAAGGTGGAGGGCTATCACTCGCTACCTTTAGCTAGGAACACGCGGGCGCAGACTGACTATCTTTGGCACAAGCTGCATTTCTTCGAAAAGGACTTGACTGTGCGTCATAGACCGAGATCTCTAATGACGGACAGACCGATCATTCTACTTGTGCAACCCAGGTAACGAGCTTGTCAATCCGTCATGTTCCAACATAAAACTTTCCCCATTTGTAATCAATTGGGCCCTGACAACCAGGCTAGAAGTACAATCTTGTCCTCTGCGTTATTGTTGCTCGACAGTGTGGACATTTGTTGAGAGATGGCGCACAGCCTGCACACGTCTACAAAGACAGGAAGAAGCATGGGTTCGGGAAATACTTTTGGTTGCGGAGGTGAGATGGATGGGTAGAACGTCTGACATGCACAGATCCAACGGACCACTCCAGTCAATCACAACTTCCTGGAGCATCGAATTGTGGAGTGAAGCACAGCCCACCAGATCTCGATAAGGGTAACAGTCTCTACTCTGTAATTCAAGTTGAGCTGATTTTCTCACTGCTTCCATAGGAGTTTGAACAGCACTCTCAGTGCGTTTGACGCCGGAGATTGTATGCGATGAGTGCCACTGAGCTCGCGCGGCGTTTGGGAACGAATGAGCCTTGAAAGCATTGCCCACAATCGCAGCAACAGTCGTCTTAGATTGCAACTGTTCGTTTGAACATCCTTACCATATGCCCACACTGGAAGCTCATGTTGGCAACCTCAGAGAAGCAGATGCAGCAAGTCTGCAGAGAGCATCGTGAGAAGGCCGTAAGTCAACTAAGCTAAGCTACCCCTCAGCCGTTGTCAAATTTCGCTACAATGACCTCATGCTCTCTTTTGTTTGAAGAGTCCATATCGAACCAGAGTTGCCTCATCGACTCGTGCACCTAGCTGGCAAGGAAGCGTTCTGAATGACGAGTCAACGGCCCCTTCTCACTGACTCTGGAAAAAATCGTCAGAATCTCATTCGAGGCTCCTTTCCGGGCATACTTGCTTACATAGCTCTTCTTGATCACTTCACAAGGGAGTTAAATTGGACGAAATCAACGTGCAAAGTTTTCGCTTGGTGAGAATAAGATGCCAGACGAAGTGCGCCTTCAATCGGTACATGTGAGAGCGGTCTTTAAAAGCGATGGCAAGCAACTCACGTTCTCTATCCGGCCGTCGCTTGCAGTGCTCCTCCTTCGAAGGGGCCTGTTTCTGTCTCCCCCATCTTCGCTTAGCCCTGCTTCCATGCGGGGGCCACCACCGGGTCGATCGTCTAAGGGTTCCGACATCCTGAACGCTGGGTTCTGGTCGCGCCAATCCACACTGCCTGGCACTTCCGGCGCAGAAGGCAAGGTTTGTGCACTGTCTTGCGCTGACGTTTGCGTGGGGACTGCATCCTCGAAAGGCGAGCCACCTTCGGGACTGCGAATCAGACCGGCCGGTAGAGTCTGCTCCACGTGAGAGACCAGCTTGCGCCTGCAGAGGGCACGTGCGAATAGAACTCAGTCGGACGAGGAGCAGCATAGGAGATGTTGCATGCGAAGAGATGAGACGCTCCATTGCGTCACAGGAGGATAACCTTTACTGAAGCATCATCTCTTCCTCATGGACTGCCTCCCTCGAAGGACAGGCATAGCTATACACACTGATGCTTATAAGCAGCTCGTCGTGGGTGCCACTCAAGTCTGTAAACGCTCTCATGTCGCCTGCTCTGCACTCGGCTCTACGGGCAAGTCTCACCGGTAGTCCTCCTCTAAGAGCTTGTGCAAGACGAATTCAAGCAGCTTCTGGTCCGTCAAGCCGAGTACTTCCGCTACTGTTGCAAGCCACGATGACACGGAGGGCTGGCTATCTCCCACAGCAAAATCGGCCGAGAAATCGGCCCTGAGCTTGTCAGCAATCGTTCCAGCTAGGATTGCCTTGTCGCGCTTCCGTAGGCACAGGCTCTGTGGGGAGAAAAGACTGCATCGCAAAATTTCTTATGAACATTCCAGGTGCCGTAGGCTTCACGGCCGGCACCTCCAATGCCGCACTTATGCCGTTTGACTGCCGCACACGTGCCGCATGGTGCCGCACCGTGCCCGTATTGCCGCAACAGCTGCCGCATGATGCGGGCATTGCATATGGTTGTCGGACGCTATCACGTCCGCGCCGTAGTTGGTGCCGGGCATGTTGTTGTGCGGCAGCCAATAGCCGTGCCGGCATGGTTGGCTGCCGTGACGGCTGGGAATGTGCCGCGTACAGTGCCGATACCCTCTTGTGCCATAGCCGTGCCAGCATGGCCGGCTGCCGTGACGGTTGGGAACGTGCCGCGTACAGTGCCGGCACCGTCTCACAAGAGACCCCAGGTAGTAAAAAAGATGTGGAGCCAAAAAAAAATTCGAAGAAGCTTACCAGCGCGCACTTTACGATAGACAGGCCAATAGCGCTTCGCATCGTAAACTGTGCGCCAGCCGTACAAACCGAGAAAAGGAGCCTGCCGCATGTGAGA